GTGTGTGTACAAATGTGCATTCCTGTGTGAACACATGCAAAGGAAGATGTTGAAATTTTTTGTCTCTGTCTCTCTTTTTCTTGATAGTTTTTCACTGAGCCAGCAAGCCAATAAGCAGAACCTCTCCATGGCCTCTAAATCAGTTCCTGCCTTGACTTCCCTCAATGATGGCCATTGCCTAGAAGTGTAATCAAAATAAACCGATTCTTCCTCAAGTTGCTTTTGGTTGTGGTGTTTTATCACAGCAATAGAAAAGTAACTAAGATAGAAATTGGTACCAGAAATGGGGCATTACTGTGACAAACTCTTATAAAGGCAACTCTTATAAAGGAAAATATTTAATTGAGGTGGGTTGTTTACAGTTCAGAGGTTCAGTCCATTATCATCATGGCAGGGAGTATGGCAGCATGCAGGCAGACATGATGCTGGAGAAGGAGCTGAGAGTCCTACATCTTGCAGGCAAGAGGATGTCAGCTGAGACACTGGGTGGTATCCTGAGCATGGGAAACCTCAAGCCTGCCCCTAGAGTGACACATTTCCTCTAACAAGGCATACCCACTCCAACAAAGGCACATCTTCTAATAGTGCCACTCCCTATGACATTATGGGGGCCAATTACATTCAAGCTACCATAATCATTAAGGCAAAATCTTCTGAAAAATGTTTCCTCTGAGCCAGCACACAGAAACCATAGTCCAGAAGGAGCTGAGGCTTCATCTCATGCTGGCAACTAGTGCAATAGTCACCCAGGTTGTACTGGTCTTGAAGACATAAGGGGCTATGAAGCAGAGCTGAGACTTGGCATTGTTTGACAGGGCGGAAGTCCCTGAAGAGAGAGGCCATTAGTGAAGATGGAGACTCAGTTGCAGTAGAAGGCCCACAATCAAACAGGTCATGGAGAGACGCTGACGCTTGGTACCATGTGGCAGTGTCAAAGTCCTTGAAGGGAGCCCAGAACAAGCTACTGATGAAAACATCGCACAGCTGTAGTAGGAGACGCCAGCGTTTTAGAGATACCAGTACCAAGAGACAAGGACTGGGAACAGCAGCTGTAGATAGAATGGTCTGAGCCTAGAAGACAAACTGCATGTGCTTGTAGGTGGTGCTTCCCAAGAAGTGAAGGAAGCAGTCCAAACCCTTATAATCTGGAGGATCATGAAGGGTCCCAGATGCCAAGCACCAAACTTTTTACACTGTTGAATTTGGGCTTGATTTTGTTTGATTGTGACTGTGCATGCCCTGGTTCTTGCCTCTCAGAGGGAAGTTAGGGAGACTTTGGATAGTTTAGAGAAACTTTGGAATTTTAAAGAGGCTTTCAACTTTGAAAGAGACTGACTGGATTGTAGACTGAAGTTTCTTGGTCCTGCCCAGACAGCAGCCGTTTTTTATAAAATAATCATTCAGAGGCTCAATGTTAATTACAAACTGTTTGGTCTATGGTTCAAGCTTATTGCTAGCTATTACATCGTAAGTTAACCCATTTCTATTAATCTAGATATCATCACGTGTCTCGTGGTTTTTACCTGTGTTCTATTATATCTTGCTCCCCTGGCAGCTCACAGCATCTCCCCTGGCAGCTCACAGCATCTCCCCTGACCTCACCTTTCTTCTCCCTGTATCTTTGCTTGGATTTCCTACCAGGTTCTTATCCTGCCTTACCATAGACCAAAGCAGCTTTATTTATTAACCAATGGGAGCAACACATATTCACAGCATATAGAAAGACCATCCCACAGTACTTCTCCTTTTCTGTCTAATCAAAAAGGAAGGTTTTCATTTTAACATAGTAAAATTATATATAAAAAAGTTATCAAGCAAGAATTAGAGTTACAATATCTAGTCTATTTCTATTTGGCAAAATTAAAGAAAATATTCTACCATCTATATTTGTGAGTCTAAAGTTTCATACCTAATTTACCTTTTATCATAACCAAGGAAAACTACAATTATAACTATCTAGTCTTTAATTCCATCAAAGACCCCAGAAGAATATAGTGTTATCTGAGTAAATAGGAAGTGCATTGCAAGCAATTTCCAAAACTCTAGAAATGACAGAAAAATCTGGCTGACTGGACAGTCACCCAAAGTTCTTTTGTAACATTGGGGCATCCATCTTCACCCTATAGGCCTAGAGTATCTGGCAGACTTCTCAGTGAAGCAGGAAATTTGAAGAACCGTCCCACCTATTTTGGCAAAGTTCATCAGTCATTTTCCTCTGTGTCCTAAAGAATGTCTTGTAGTTTCTTCTGTGAAGCAGGAATCTGAAGGACCATCTTGCTGTGTTTTGGCAAAATTCAGTGGTCATTTTCCTATAAGTCCTGCATGTCCAGTTTATACAACATATTGTCAAGCAGTCCAGGCAAGAGCAGTTTCTTGCCCAAATGGCTAGTTTTTGCCATATTGGTGCTGCCAGGAGTCCACTGTCCAGAAAAGTCTAAGTTCTCATTGTCCAGAAAAGTCTAAGTTCTTAAAACATTTTAAATGCCATATTTTTTAGGTTTTTGAAAATTGCTTATCTATCTGAAATATATCTTTGTATATCTAGAAAACCTAATTAATATGATTATAAGTTTGATTATTACAGATGACTATTAATTTCTTAATTATACATTATAATTTCAAATGAATTGTATAAACATAATACCCCAAAAAGAACAGAAACATATAGTATAACAAAATTAACTTTCAATTTGTATCAATAAACCTAAATCCATACCAATGTAAAATATTTTGAGATTAACAGTTGTTTTTTAGATTAAAGTAGATTCAATAATCTACCCCTTTCTCCATCATTTCTATATCATATCCCCCTTTCTTCTTTTAGAAAGACATTGATTATGACCAATAACAGTTTATAACCAACATCTCTTAAATGAAAATAAGCATTTATGAACAATATTTGGGGAATTTGGGCATAGTTTTCTAGACTACTTCCTGTTGATAGTTGAGCACTGGTAATTTTATGGGGATCAAGTCCTAGGGTATTTTGTGTGGTTGGTCCATCTCAGTCAGTAGTCTTAAAGCTGTTGTGGATATTGGATCATCTGGACCATCGCTATCATCGGAGACCATTCAGGGAGTCTTGGTTGATCAAACCTGATCATCTTTAACATTGAATGAATCCATAGCCTCTCATTTTCTGTGGAAACAAAAACATAACCTCTCCCCCAAAGTGGCATATCTTTTAACTTAAATTTTAGAGTGAAGATATTTTTAAAATATATAGGTTGGTTTAATCCAGCAGCTTCCATAATCAAATGTCTCATAGCAGTCAAAAATTTAAAGACAACTTAATAATATACATAATCCAGCAGCACACTATGTGGCAGATTTAGCTTTTGCTCATGTAGATAAAAAGGGTTAAGAAACACAAAAATAGATTTAGACAGATCTATTTCTGTGCATTTTTCCATCCTCATGTGGCTCATTTTCTTTATGTTACTTTATTCACCTTTCTAAGGACTTTATTATTTTAAATCTACATTTTAATTTAAGGATATATATATATATTCTATATACATAAATATATATTCTTTCTCTCTCAAGCCTAAGCATATCTTTTAAACACATCATGACCTATTTAGAGGCCTTTCTGTCTAAATCTGTTTTTGTGTTTCTTAACCCTTTTTATCTACATGAGCAAAAGCTAACTCTGCCACATAGTGTGCTGCTGGAGCTTGCATTAGCAGCTTAAGCCAGCAGGCAACAGCTGGGAGAAGCCTCTCTGTACTGTGGCCCATGAAGAGAACAAGGGGGCCTGCCATGTTTAGCTGAAGCCCACCCTGGCCAGGGGACGCAGTTCTGTACAGAGTCCCATAATGAGAGACTTGAACTAGGAAGCTCTTCTAGGCTCCTGTTTTTGTGGGTCTAGAAGCCCTCTTTTTTAAGCTTTTTTTAGGCTTTATGTGGATGTATGTGCCTGGCTAGCTCATAAGACCATCCCACAGCACTGGATATTTTAAAGAGACTGAACATTTTTATAGATTTAGATTTTGAAAAGTTGGAATGTTTTACATTGTCATATTAATATTAGCATGGCACCATGGAAAGAACAAGAGAGGTTATAGCTTGATAAGTGCTGTATTTGTATGTCAAGTTGACAAGGTGTGGATTCTTATGGTTGGTTTTCATATCAACTAGACACAAGATAGGGTCATCTGGGAAGAAGAAATCATAATCAAGAGAATGCCTCTATAATAATTGACCTGTAGGAAAGTCTGCAAGTCCTTTTCTTGAATAGTGATTGATGTGGGAGAACCTATCCCACTGTGCTTGGTGCTACCCAAGCAGTCATGGGGTATATAAGAAAGGAAGCTGAGCAAGCCATGGGGAGTAAGCCAGTAAAGTGTGTTCCTCCATGACCTCTGCATCAGCTCCTGCCTTAAGTCCCCTCAATGATGGACTACTGCCTGGAAGTGTAAGCGAAATAAATCCTTTCTTTTCCAAGTTGCTTTTAGTCACAGCGTTTAATCACAGCAATAGAAAAGTAACTAAGACACTAACTTTGAAATCAGTTTGTCATTATCCACTAAAGAACATTATAAGATTACTAAAAGTAACCTGTTGAAATGAACTGAAGTTTTGATTGAGGGAAAAGTGGGGTATTCTTATCACTTGGAGGAGCAGCGACAGCAGGACTATTACAGCTTAAACTTCAGGTATTTAGAATTCAGCATGAAAATTACATAGGGTGGAGGACTGAGACTGCCTAAGCAGTGGTAAAAAGAGAAAACGAGCTGTTGGTATTAAGAACAAATCCTGCTTTCCCTCCCTAACACTTTCCTTAGGGATCTGACCGCAGCAGATCTAACAAACTGGAACTGACTCCCAGGCTGTGCTGAGGCACAACACAGGCACCTGATAACCTCAACCAGTGTGTCACATCTTCTTACCATCATGCACTGCACACGAATTAGGTCAATTATATAATTTCCTTAATGGGTTCCAGGGTTTCAGAGGCTGGTTTATAAAGTATTAGGAATAAAAGAAAAGACCATTACTAGATTATGATCATTTATTTATAGGTTTAACATAAAGTCACAATTTTATTGGGAAAATTTGGATTCAAGCCAATGATTTTCAACAAAAACCAAAACGAGGCAGATGCACTAGTGGCTGATAGAAAAAGAGGATGTGTGGCACGTTATGATAACAGTAGTCATATTTTTACTCTCTCTGTGTGTGTGTGTGTGTTCAACACTGCTACTTTCATTTGCAAGTAGACTGATTGGAAAGTCTTTATAGATTTATATTTGACTTTTTAATCAAAATTTTCAGCCATCACATTACTCACATCCAGGTTTGCACAGATCTGGAATCTTCCTAGTGGAGTACAGGCCCAGTTGAGATCATTTTATTGAAAAACTGAGCACAGTCAGGCTGCCTTAGGCTTAAGAGCTTCTGGGTTTCGTCCTTGGAGGAGTTCAGGATCTTCCCAGGGCCTTGGGCCTCGAATATTCTTCCAGTCTTCAAAAGTGGCGTCCTTTATTTTCTACAGAACCAGGAAGTTAAACACATTAGTGCTGACACCCAGTGGCTTTGGTTGAGGCATCAATAAGTGCTGAGCAGGAAGGGAAAACTCAACAGGCTCCAGGACAAGGTCAGCCAATAAACCACCTCCAAACCAAGCTTTCTGAGGGTTAGAACTTCCCTGGCTTGCTTATGGAGAGACCTCATATCTATCTTTCCCCATACTGACAAACTATTAGTGACAGAAGGAGTCTCCACTCTGTTTCTGAGAGCACAATGAATGGGAAGAGGCTGGGAAGACAAGAGTAAAGGAGGAGCTGCTCCAGCACTGCAACAGGTGAAAGGAGGAGCTGCTCCTGCACAGCAACAGCTGAGAGAAGGAGCTGCTCCAGCGCAGCAACAGGTGAAAGGAGGAGCTGCTCCAGCGCAGCAACAGGTGAAAGGAGGAGCTGCTCCAGCGCAGTAACAGCTGAAAGCAGGAGCTGCTCCAGTGCAGCAACAGGTGAAAGGAGGAGCTGCTCCTGCA